GGGAAAAGCTGGAAGAAAAAGAAGTCAAACAAGTAGTTAAACATTCAACTTATTTTATTTTTCTGTCTTTTAGATTATTAGTCAGATAAGCAAAAAAATTATTGCCGGCATTTGACATTGCCAACCATAGCACTGGTTTGCTTTTTATCTGTCTTCAAAGGAAATAAAATCATTAAAAGTCTGTAAGTTCTTAATTCAGTCTTTATTTAAGTTTTTTTTTTCTGTATCTTCCTGTTTCGCCTTGATAATAGCTTCACCTCTCATTTTGTTTCTTCCTTTTTGGCAGTCTGTGGGAAACATGTAAACTTTGACCCAGAGAGGCCAGAAGAGGCTCACTGGCCCTGGCTGGCAGCCATATACCGCCGCTCCCTCAAGGAGACCGAGACTAAGGTGACGAAGGCAAGCAACCAGGACGAAACACTGAAGAAAGATGCTGGAGACAGAAGTAGCAACCTAAATCAGGCCTCTGACTGGCAGCTTGTCTGTAGCGGGGCTCTGGTTAACCAAAGGAGTCTGGTAGTTGCAGCTCACTGTGTGACAGAGCTTGGAAAGATGTATCCTGTGGATACAGCCACCATCAAGGTGGTCGTTGGGAAGCACTATCGTAATGACCACAGGGAAAACAAGGGTCCTCAACACCTCAGGGTAAGCTTCTGGAAGTTTTATTTTCCAATTTTGCTGTTCGAGAAACATAATAAAGTTACAAATCTCTTTTTCCTTAGGTGAGCTCCATTGCTGTACATCCAAATTACGATCCTTATATTCTTGACTCTGACATCGCTGTTATCAAGTTATTAGACAAGGCAAGAATTGGAGAAAAGGTCTTGCCGCTCTGCTTGTCAGAGAACGAGGAGGAAGAGGCTACATCAGATCAAGGGCTTGTGACAGGCTGGTCTCCGTTGCAGGATTCTAGTTTGGGCCTTGAGGAAAAGGCAAGGGTTGGGCTGGTTCACCTTGCTGATATTGTCCCATGTGAGCATCAGTATGCTCGTAACGGCATGCCGGTCAGTGTTACAGACAATATGCTATGTGCAAGCCAAAAACCTGACTATGGTCCATCTAACATATGTCCGTCTGACACTGGGGGCATTCTTGTCCTCCCTGCCAACTCTGGGAACCAGGTCAGATATGATTTGAAGTCCTCTCAGATGCAAAAGGACAACAAAGGCTTGTGGAGACTCTTGGGACTGGTGAGCTTTGGCTACGATCAGGGGGAATGTGATCCTGAACTCTACACAGTTTACACACGTGTGGCTAACTTTAAAGACTGGATTGAGAGCAACATCAAATAAAGACCTGGCCTCAGAGTATTCATTCTGTCCAATGTCTAATGCAAAAGGGCATTTTTCAAGTAAATGCAGAAGCAACACTGGACGATATAATGCTTTAAGTGAATTGGGGTGGTAGCAAACATAGGTGTGTTAAGCAGTTACCTCTTCTTCTGAATAGCTCAAAGTTTGGGTGCCTTAGACTAATGTTAAAGACTTGAAAATGACCAGAAAACAATTCAGATGACCATTCTAACTAATAAAGGTTTGGATAGTAATATCTATGAATTCAGTGTTCTGTATAATAACAGATCTAATGGTGCAAAAGATGTATATAATGTATTAAAAGACATAATGTAAAATGTTACATTTTTTTAAATAAAGAAAATAGTGTGTTAAAAGGTATATGTCCTCCTTCTTAAATATCATATGTACATGAAACAGTACTTTACACCTTCAACTTTTTCACATTTCTTTTTTTTTTTTTCACATTGCAACCACAAAACTAAATGCATCACCATCAGTTAATAGAACCAAAAGCATTTAAATCAAAGAAAAAAGATCAAGCCAAAAATAAAATCATGTCATTGGACCAAAAAACACGTTTGAAAGAACTAAAAAATAGTCTGAAGACTCAAAATGTGAAAGCATGATTACAATGTTATAAAGTAGAATTTAGAACCTCCAGTAGCTTCAATATACAATATGTAACTTCAGATAAAGCAATTATTCTTAGAATGGACAAGTCAAACAATAAATAAAATACTCTGAAACTCATAAAAGATAAAAAAAAAATACAGTATTAGAAATTAGAACACTGACTTTGATCCAATGCAGAAATATTTGAGCAAATACTGGCCTATGTCTATATCTTAGAGGATGGATTTGACTATGCACTACTATCACTATCAGTGAAAGACACACTGTCTTCATCTTTTTTTAACAAACGGTTGAGATCACCAAAGTTCTGTGTTTCCCAGAGGATGGTCTCCGTTCACAGGCACTTGTAAACTCACAAGGCTTCATCAATAGACAGAGACAGAAAACACTCAACCATAGTCTGACTGACCTGGTAACGGAGGCGTTGTCTTAGTTTAGACCAGAGTAGTGGTGAGAAAATGCTGCCATGAGAAAGTGGTTAGCACATTGAGAGGCAGTGGGGTACAATTCTGACCCCTGAATCTCACAAGGGGACTCAGTTGATGTCCACAGATTGGTGTCTGCTACCATTTGTACTTTTAGTGTCCTGGGATGAAGAAAATGGATCCTTCTGTTTTGCTGGTAAATTAGACTCATAATGCGACAAAATTGAATTCATTCATAATTGGGAATTTTATTCATTTTTTTAAATAAAATCTGAATACTTGCTTTGAAGGTATAATTTGTTTTTAAGCATCAGTGTTGTCGATGCAGATTTTCAATTCACAAAATACTCAAATAACCAAAGGTTAAAAACAATTTATTGCAGTAGAATAATCTGAGACTGAAACAATTTGTGCAATCCATTGGTGAAGAGTTTGGCCTGCATTTTGTTTAACATTGCTCAGTTCTATAACATCAATGGCCTAAGTTATTACTGTGAATGGCATAAATTGCCACATGTTATCACACTGTCTGAAGATTGCAGACAGTGTGATAAAGGATGACTTTTTCAAATCTTGAGCAAAACCATAGGTAAAGGAATTCTCTTAGTTTTCTTACTGTGCCAGTTTATCTTACATTTTCCAAATAGACTAGCACTCATGCTTTTGAAAAAGTATGAGGCACTCACAAAATTCATATATGTGTGTCACATAATTGTTTTTATTAGACTCCGATACAGACAGTGAGCACACAGGATCAGGAAGGTTAATAGTTTTATTGTGGACAAGTGGCATTTCAGGAAAGAGTAGGTCACTAGTAGGGGAGAGGATCAACACAGGGCCTCTCTCGGAGGGAAGGTGGGTGATTACTAATATTACAGGAGGTTGGATGAAGATTTGCCTGAATAGGTAAGGAGGAAAAGTTTTTTTGTTGTTGTTGATTGTTTTTGGCATAGGAACAATTTAAGTAACTGAATAGCAGACTTTTGGAGGAACATCAGAACAACATCAGCACAGCCAGCCAGAGAACAGAAACCAGGAATCCAGGAGGAGATCTTCATCTGAGAAACTGACAGCAAGGAGGAAAGATAGGGTTCAGGTTATACAAGTTCTAACTTCAGATCCTATTATCACTTGAAGTGAATGGATCATCTGGTCCCTGCCTTGAGGGGAACCACTCCTCTTAGTTCTGCTTCTTATTGTTGCCAGATCAGCTCTAGTGTTGCCCGCCACAATCTGCATAGAGAGAGGTTAGGAGAAACACACCCACCGCTTTCACACAGCTCAGAGAATCCAACATCGAGCGCTTTCACTAAAAGTGTCAACAATGTTTTTGAGCTGATGTTGCAATGCCATAGAAGAAATGCAAAGAAACAGTTTTGAGTAAGCCAATGTGTGTAAATGTATGAAATGCATTTAAAGAAATTGCTTTGCTCAGCAGGCCAACATTAGGCTTCGTGTTAAGCTGTTTGTGCCATTTATTAGATTGTGGTTAAAAAAAAATATCCTGTTGAATGTACTTTCACATATAAATGTCTTTACTGACTTGTTCCATAATGCTGTCTTATATCAAAACTCAAACTCAATTTAACATATTTTTATGTAAAAAACAAACAAACAAACAAGCAATAAAATCACAGGAACACAAAGGGGTACTCTGAGATTTTGAACATTAACAGAAAGGCTCTGAGTCCACACAGGACAGATTGGTGATCACTGTGATTCTATAACAATTCTGCTCTAAAATGCTGGATGATGTATTTGTGGCTGCAATTAGCAGGGCATGCCTCACCTTAACAGCTGCAACCGCTACCTGTTGAGAAATGTCACATTCTTCTCAAGTCTTGTGAGCCAAACACTTGTGTCATTTCTGACAGTTATCAGAAAAGGGTGCTAGATTTTTTAAGAAATATTTAGTCTCATTATCTATTTAGTGAATGAAGTTTAATAACCAATATAATTGTTTGTCGTGTAGAATAGACATATTAACATTTGAGCAAATGTTTAAAACAATAGCAAAATGTATATATATATATATATATAATATATATATATATATATATATATATATATATATATATATATATATATAAATGTCATCTCATATTTCCATCTAACTGAAACAAAAAGTCATAGATTACTGACCCAGTCACTATGTGTTTTGAAAAAGAAACTACAAAAGAAATATTCTGTCAGATTTCTTTTACAAGAGTGATTAGGATAACCATTACTATATAAATGTATTCAACTTAAAGACTATTTAGGATATTTAAAAAAAATGTTCTGGTCATACTTAGTGCAAGATAAGAGTAGTGTATTTAATGACTTTAAACATGAAGGTTTGCCTATTTGTGGGGTTTGCTGTGTATGAATGGGTTGACCATTGGGACATGGTGTACTTTGCTTATTCTAACTGACTACCCACACAAACTCTAGATTTTCTGACACACGTGTGAACAGAACAGGTCTAAAAAAAAAAAACAATGGACAAAAAACATCACTTTCCCTAAAATGTTAAAGCTATGCTTTAGGCAATTAGGATTCCATGTGTGATCAGTTCTGATCACAGACTCTCTGTACTCCACGTGCTTCCCGTCCTGAACAGGTTTCGCATGAACTTTAACACCAAATGGTGTTTGCGTGCGGGTAATAAAAAGAGGTAGAAGAATAAGGAGACAGAGGAAGAGGGAATGCTGGGGTGTCGGCTGCATCTTCGACCAACGGGAGTTGGCATTCCCATGCAGAAGAGACAAAGACGGAGGCGGTGAGGGGGAGGTGTTGAGGAGGAGGTAGACGGAGGGGAGTAAAGTGTCGAAGAGCGAGGTAAAGGCAGAGCTCAGTCAGTGGGAGCATTGAGCTGCAGGAGCTGCTCGGATTTTACTGGCAGAAAAAAAAACAAAACAAAAAAAAAAAAAAAACAGAAGCCCCTCGGTGTGAAGAGCGCTCCTGTCCCGGACCGCTGTGCGCTCTGCAGCTCGTCGTGGCTCACCCAGTCTGAAGCGGATGCGCTGATAGAGCCTGCAGACCAAAAACAACAACAGCAACAAAAAAAAAAAAAAAAAAAAAAAACTTTCTCATTGTGGTTCCCAGCAAAGGTAAGATGCTTTTGTTTGTTTCTTATTTTATCATGCAAACGAGAGAACGCTTTTTACTGGAGATCATCGGGAAAACAATTGTTTTAATCGTGATTTAAGTTGTTTTACAGTTAAACACCAGAAGTTAAATTTTAGCCATTTATTCAGGTGCAAATGGGTAGCATTACTGAAGTTAATATTTTCATTCTGAAATGAGCATGAGATTGAAACGATACATTGACCATTGACTATAGACACAACAAATAAATAGAAACATATTGCAAAGAAAAGTACTACCGAGGTTTGAATAGCCATAATAAGCCATATAAAGAAGTGCAATTATTTCTGTCATAATTTTGAAACTCCAAGAAGAGGTACATGCTGAAATTTAAGCAATCTATGAAAAAAATCAAGTTATGTGCTTTAAAAAGGGACAAAATGTGCATTCCGGTTAAGACTGCAGCCTCTGGTCAACATTAATTGCAACAAGCTCTTTGGGTAATTTTGTAGCTTTTGCTTTTTTAATCATGGTAAAATCTGGTACTTACATATACATTTGCTTAAAAAATGTAAGTAGGCTATCTTTTTGATTGAATTAGCTGTCAACTAGTTGCTTTGAGCTAAATTCTGAATTGATAGTTTTGACATTTTGGCCACTTGATTAACCTATACTTGAAAGACCATAGATTCAGGTGGACTAATCTAAATGTGTGAATTACAATGCAAATATAAAACATTATATTTTGAAAAAAGGTTTTCAATATGCATCTTCTCCTGTACCGTATTTCTAATGCCATCAGGAATTAATACAACTTCCTGTTTTTGCAAATTAATGGCATGATGTAAAGGAATTCCCTTTTTCTGCTGCCTTACATATTTACATCTGAGGAAAAACAAATTTTACTACCATCGCTTCTGTTTGTGCCGTAGTTGAGCCACCCGTCTCCCTAGTCAATCATTGCAGTCCTTTTTCTCTTTCATATTAAAACGCATGCATGCTCAATAAAACATACTCACGGAAACAGGCACTTTTTCAAAGGTACCATCAATGTCACCATGGAAACCAAGTCTCTTGGCACCTTGAGTTGATTGCCTTCTGCATCTTGGCTTGTCTGGAAAGCGTTTCTGGGCAGTCGCTTGCAGACGCTCCTGTGAACTGAGTCTCAGATAAATGATGGATTTCAGTGTACATGTTCCTCTGGTGGTGCAAGCTTCGAAATGTGGTTTGTGTCGCTATTGTCAAGGGAAAATCCTGGCCTTGAAGGGGGATTCTGAACAGTCTATGCAGCTAACACATTTCTTTCCAGAAGCTACTATGTATGTTGCATTTCTAACCTACATGAATGAACAAGGCAGACATTCAAGGCAAGCTCAGACAGCAAAGCATGAGTCACTTGATAGTAAGCGTGTTCTGACACATGCTACAGACATTGACAGCAATCCTATATTTTGTATATTTTCAATATTCATTTTCGCCAGAACCAGGCCCGAAATTGTAGGAGGCCAAAAGGAGCATTTGGACCCCCATTTCCGGTTGAGCCCAACAAGCCACCACACCGTCTTTTTCCCTCCAGCATTTTACACGACATGTTTTAACTCCAACAATAAGTTCAAATTACTATATTCAATGCTTTATGCTTGATAGTTACATCTTTTACATCATACTTATTACCTCTCCAGATAAAGTGCTCATTTATGTCACGTTTTTTTCAATTGTGATTGTAATGGCAGTCAAATTAGATGAATGTTATGAAAATGGCTGGAAAAGTAAGATTGGTTATTTAGAATCAGTTGCAGCATGCAGCACATCTTCCCCCTGCTCAGACACAAATAACATAAATAATCAAATTAACTTTATATCCCTTAAAGTAATTTTTTACCTGTGGGGATTTTTCTGTGTGTTCATTAACATGAACTTTAAGACTGTTACTCTACAGCCACCAGGGGGCATTTACATCAGACTGAACAAGATTTGCCCAGAAAAAAAAAAAAAGAAAAAAAAAAACGACAGACGAAGTTAAGTAGATCAGAGCAAATTATTTTGCGCAAGACTGAAAATGCAATTTCTTTTTCTTGTTTTGTGCTGCAAGTAACAACTGATATTTATGTTGTTGTGACATTTCATAAAATGTTTGAAAATAACTGCTGCAGAAAGTTTACATGAAATAATTAAAAAAACAGGTTAAAATATTGCATGCTCGGGTTCTTTGTTTTATACATTGCTCCTTGAGTAAAGTGTTGTTCCTTGAAAAAAAAAAAAATCCAAAAATAATGTGGAAACACTTCTGAAGTGAGATTATACCAGTGCCAGACGTGTGTGTGTGAGAGTGTGAGAACATCACTATGTGGGAGGGATAAATTAAAATATTAAAATAGGTAAAAGAAAAGAAACAAAACCATGAAATTGTTTTGTTAGTCTTGTGTACATAAATCACAGACTCATAAATCAAGTGATTGAGGGGAAAAAAAAGGGTGCGGTCTGTTCTTCTTGAGGCAATTTGTGTGACTAAATTATCCTGCCTTTGAGCAAATAGCCTGAAAATGGAACATATGTTACCTGCCAGTAAGTGCAGTCAAAGCTCTCTTCTCACTGGTGGGAGTGAGATAGATGGTGGGTACCGAGCTAGGAAACTGGGAGAGAAAAGGACAGTAGAAGTAGGAAAAAAGAGGTGAGGATCCAGGTGACATAGACAGCAGACCCAGCAGGGACACATTCTCGGAGATGTGTGAGTTTGGGCAAGTATACGGATGTGCGTGGCCATTCATGGGGCTTCATTGTGGTCTTGTTGGCAGTCTTTTGTATCCAGTGTTTGAGTAATCCTCCTGGGAACACACAGAAGCTGCCAAAGTACCATCCAGCTCCTCTGTTCACTCTTTGCTTGCTCATCTATCTCTGTCTCTCTTTTTTTCTTCTTTTTTGCTTTCTCAGTATCCTATTATTTAATTCCTTTCTAATTACTTTAATATCATTCAGTTTCACTTGTCTCTTTCCCCTCATCACTGTATTCTGGTTGTGCATCTTCCCAGTGATGAGAAGAGGGTGATTCACACTCTTATGGTCCTGCCTATAGAATCAGCATATCGTTTCTCAGAGAGCTTGAACAGAGTGAGGCCATTCCCATGGACTGACCAAACAAAGAGCCTGCTTCCCTTCACTTCTGTATGACTGCACAGGAACAGACACATAAGCATTCACCAGTGGGGCTGCTGCTGGGCGGCAAAATGATAGATCTCAGCTGGCTGTGGATGAAGCGCCTCTTCAGTTTTGCTATGAGACAGCGGCATAAACCGTGGTCCAAATTATTATGCAAGTGATATTTTCTTAAATAGTCAATGCAAATGATGGTGAGTATAATTTTCAAGTCATGAACTATTACAGTATAAATCAAATTTTACTGAACTAAGCTCCCCATGAGAACAGTATTTTCTTCAAAAATAAAAAACTCAAAATGCACTGTTCCAAATTATTATGCACAGCAAATTTTCTAAACATTTTATGAATTATAAAGAACTGCAAATGATCATTCTTTGTGCAGCATTAAGTGGTCACATGTACTAACATCAAAAGCTATTTGAATCAAAAACATCTTAACAGACCGAGTTACATATTAACATAGGACTCCTTCTTTGATATCACCTGCACAATTCTTGCATCCATTGAACTTGTGAGTTTGTGGATAGTTTCTGCTTAAATTTCTTTGTAGGATGTCAGAAAACCTTCCCAGAGCTGCTGTTTTGATATGAACTGCATTCCACCCTCAGATCTTCAGCTTGATTAAACTCCAAAGATTCTCAATAGGGTTGAGGTTAGAAGAGGATGGTGACCACACCATGAGTTCCTCCCCTTTTATGCCCCTTGCAGCCAATGACACAGTGGTATTCCTTGCAGCATGAGATGGTGCATTGTCATGCATGAAGATGATTTTGCTACTGAGGGTTCGGCTCTTCTTTTTGACCCATGAAAGAAAGTGATCAGTCAGAAAGTCCATATACTTTGCGGAGGTCATTTTCACATCTTCAGGGACTCTGAAGGTGCTGATCAGGTCTTACTCTCTCTCCCCATAATTTTGGCCCAAAAAATAACTCCATTACCTCCTTGCTGAGATCACAGCTGTGTTGGTATATGGTGGCCATCCACCAGCAATCCACGACTGCGTCCATCTGGACCATCCAGATACAGAAGTCATCAGTGAACAAGTCTGTTTAAAATTTAATCTTCATGTATGGCTGGGCCCACTGCGACCATTTCTGCTTGTGAGCTCTGGTCAGGGGTGGCCGAAAAGTAGGTTCATGCAGCACAAGCATCTTGAGGATCCCCCACCTTGAGGTTCCAGAGACATCAGCAGTTTTAAATAACTGTTTGCTTATTTGTAAGGGCATTTTAACAGCTGCTCTCTTAATCCCATGAATTTGTCTAACAGAAACCTTCCTCATTATGCCTTTGTCTGCACAAACCCATCTTTGTTCTGAATCAGCTAGAAATCTCTTCACAGTACGATAAGGCTTCAGTGTTTGTTAAATATTTAATGTTTTCATACCTTGTCATACACTATCTGATGATCTTTTCTCTTTCCCATATTGCTTGCAACCTGTGGCCTGCTTAATGATGTGGAACATCCTTCTGAAGTAGATCTTTAATTGAGCTCACCAGACAAAATCAATTGATTATAATGATTCAAAGAGCCCTGACACACAATACTATTTATAAATTTAATAGCACAATAAAAAAAATCTTTATGACACTTAAATTTGCATAATAATTTGGAACATGGTGTAAACAGTGACTGTGTACTTGGAAAATAAACAAAATAAAAAACAAAAAAAAAAGAAACGAGTATCTGTTGTTTTTAGCCATGCATGTTTGTAGACTTTTTAGGTAAAATATAAATATTTTAGTGAAAAATCATCACATATCAGGGAATAAGGTTTGGAATTTTTTTTTAGTGTGGGGTAAAAACAAAGTCTCTGTCATATGATATCATTTATGTGTTTCATATTCCTAGTCTTTCTGGAATAGTGGA